TTTCCGGTTTGCCCCCTTCGTCCCATCGCTACCTCGAATTTTCCCATTTAAGGTGAAGTGACACCCCTTCAAATCAGTCGATTCGAATACAACACTTTTTTTAAAGGTATTCGACCAAACTGTCCGAAAAATTGACATATTACTCGTGATCGTCTAAGAATTGTCCTGACACATTCAAAATTTGAAAACTCACTCCTTAACGATCCTTCCCTCCGACGACCCTGTGATGGTTAAATTATGCCGAGTTATGAGTTCTCGACAAGGCGCATAGATGTCACGCTGCTTAAGGTGAAGTGAAACCCCCTTCAAATCAGTCGATTCGAATACAACACTTTTTTCAAGGGTATTCGACCAAATTGTCCGAAACATTGACATATTACACGTGATCATCTAAGAATTGTCCTGACCCGTTCAAAATTTGGATTTTTTGAAAAAATTGTTTAACAGCCCAGACCAGAACCAAAATGGCGTCGAGCTCTTATATTTACATCGATATACAATTATCGAAGGCTCCGATATGAGAAACGAAAGGGTCGGGACAATTTTACGACAATTTAGAACACTGTGGTAATTGATAAACTTGCATTTGAACGGGATAAAGGCAAAAAAAGTGTTTTATGCGCTTCTATGCCAAAAGGATAGGAATACGAGGTCGCGGAATGAAAATTTAATTCACGTGGAAATCACAGATGGCGCAGGGGCAATCAATTAGGGTCCCAGAAAGAAAGAATCCAGAGGATTCCAGGAGTTTTACTTCGATTTATTTATAATAATTGTACGAAAACGACAGGTGGAGTGTGGCATTTGGTACAATATCCAATATAATTCGATACAGCTGTCAACATAAAAATGAATGTCGGCAACGTAGGTATTTAGAAAAATCTTTATCGGCGTTGATCAAGTTCCTCGACGTATTTCATTTCACCTTAAGGGGACGTAAAAGTTGCGTCAAAGCGGTTTCATTTATGAAACTTTTCTCCGAACTGAGTGTACCGAATCGTTTTAAACTGGACAATGTGAATACGGAGCCGATAAGGAAGGTCCTGACATGCATAAAATGTCAATATTTTTAAAATTTGTTTATCGATGTATTCAGAAATTTGTATAAAAAACGAAATTTCACGAGTGTCAGCACCTTCCTAATAGCCTTCATATTCACGTTGTAAAATTTGAATCGATTCAGTACATCCAGTTCGGAGAAAAGTTTCATGAACGTCTGACCATTTGGATACCACTTTCACATCCCCTTAAACGTTGCAGCACGAAAAATAAATAAATAAATAATCATATAAATTAATTAATTAATTAATCCACACACACAGTCAGAGAGAGGAAGATATGCGTCGCGGTTGGCTTGTTTATTGATATATTCAAAATTTTCTATATAAAATGAAACTTCACGAGTGTCAGCACCTTCCTTATAGCCTTCATATTCACGTTGTAAAGTTTGAATCGATTCAGTATATCCAGTTCTGACAAAAGTTTCATGAACGATTGAGCATCCGAATACCACTTTCACATCCCCTTAAACGTTGCCGCGCGAAAAATAAACATATCAAAATAAATATCTATATATACTGTACATATATATCGATGTTTATATCGATATATATGGCTCTGGTCTGGGATGTTTAGAGATTTCGACATTGGTATATATATAGTCGGAGAGAAGTGGATATGCGTAGCGGTTGGCTCGGTGCGCCATCTGACGGATAGATCGGGCGGTCAACCGATCCTGGAGCGACATCTCTATCGGGCGTTCACGTTTGGTGTGGTCCGGTGGGTCGGATCGGTCGATCGGTCTCCGATTCCTCAGGTCCGGTTTGCAATTCTGATCGCTCTCCGGGTGTGCGCGCGCACGCTGCCTTGACAAATGTAGCAAAAAATTGCGCACCAAGAGACAGACAAGACAATAGGATGTTTAGAGATATCGACCTTACACAAAACACGACCCCCCTCGATATGCGGGGACGTGTTGCGGACATACGGGGACACGCGTGGACGCATAAGGAGGGCCGGAATCGGGACGACAAGGCGCGTGTGCATTCGCGTTGTTAAGATGAAGTGAAACACCCTTCAAATCAGTCGATTCGAAGACAACACTTTTTTTTAAGGGTATTAGACCAAACTGTCCGCAACTTTGACACATCACTCCTGATCATCTAAGAATTGTCCTGACACATTCAAAATTTGGATTTTTCAAAGAAATTTTTTAACTCGGTCCAGACCAGAACCAAAATGGCGTCGAACTCTCATATTTCGATCAATATACAATTATAGAAGGCTCTATTATGAGAATCGAAAGGGTCAGGACAATTCTATGACAATTTAGAACACTCTGGTAATCGATAAACTCGCATTTGAACGGGATAAAGGCAAACAAAGTGTTGTATGCGCTTGTATGCCAAAACGATGGGAATACGAGGTCTCGGAGTGAAAGTTTAATTGACCTGGAAATCACAGATGGCGCGGGGGGTCCCTCTGTAGTCAATTAGGGCCTCAGAAAGCATGAATCCAGAGATTTCTGGAGTTTTACTTCGATCTTTTTTTATTATTATTGTACGAAAAGGACAGATGGAGTTTAGAGTTTTTTTTCTCCTAACCTGACTTATTCGAATATAACCCTATCCTAATCTGAATCTTTGCGGTTCTGGTCTGGGCTAAGGTAAAAAAGTTTGTCCAAAAATCCAAATTTTGAATGTGTCAGGACAATTCTTAGATGATCAGGACTGATGTGTCTATATATACTGTACATATATATCGATGTTTATATCGATATATATGGCTCTGGTCTGGGATGTTTAGAGATTTCGACATTGGTATATATATAGTCGGAGAGAAGTGGATATGCGTAGCGGTTGGCTCGGTGCGCCATCTGACGGATAGATCGGGCGGTCAACCGATCCTGGAGCGACATCTCTATCGGGCGTTCACGTTTGGTGTGGTCCGGTGGGTCGGATCGGTCGATCGGTCTCCGATTCCTCAGGTCCGGTTTGCAATTCTGATCGCTCTCCGGGTGTGCGCGCGCACGCTGCCTTGACAAATGTAGCAAAAAATTGCGCACCAAGAGACAGACAAGACAATAGGATGTTTAGAGATATCGACCTTACACAAAACACGACCCCCCTCGATATGCGGGGACGTGTTGCGGACATACGGGGACACGCGTGGACGCATAAGGAGGGCCGGAATCGGGACGACAAGGCGCGTGTGCATTCGCGTTGTTAAGATGAAGTGAAACACCCTTCAAATCAGTCGATTCGAAGACAACACTTTTTTTTAAGGGTATTAGACCAAACTGTCCGCAACTTTGATACATNTGATGTGTCAAAGTTTCGGACAGTTTGGTCTAATACCCTTAAAAAAAAGTGTTGTATTCGAATCGACTGATTTGAAGGATGTTTCACTTCACTTTAAATATCCGGGTTAAAATAAATATAATTAATAAACGGCGGGTGCAGAAGAGGAAGGGGAACCCTCTTTCAAGGGAAAGGGTAGGATGAACAAAATAAGGAAGGTGGGAGGCCGAGAGAAAAGGGAAGGATGAGAGTGGGTGCTTAAGAGCAAATCCTCCCTCGGCGGCCCCTTTAATGGTGTCGAAAAGCTGCATTTACCGACGGTTCATTTTCAGGATACTTCTTAATTATAACGAGACACTTTGCCTGCGCCAAGGCGGAAGGGGGCGATATGTAAATTAGGTGCTAATGTCTTCTGGCATTATTCGGAGGGGGGGAGTCAAAGGAGACAGAAGGCGTTTAGCGTGCACTTCAAGGCGGACAACATCGACATTAGTCTCAGATCTTCTATGGCCCTCAAACCTCTCCACCCTGAAACGAAAATCGGAAACCCTGCGAGAAGAAAAGCAACGACGATAAACAATATTTGTGCTGAACGTGAAAAGTCATTTTATTAATAATATATATATATATGTTTTTTTTAGTTGTACCTACAGTTTTGTTTTATATACCTTTTTTATTTATCATTCTACATGTATCAACGGAAAAGATGAACTACGCTCTGATTATAATCGTTATTGTTCCTATGTACGGTATTACTGGGTACAAGTTAAAATTACGAATTGCTTTTTTACAATTAAGGTGAAGTGAAACACGTTGAGGAACTTGATCGACGTCGATGAAGAAGATTTTTATAAATACCTACGTTGCCGACGTTCGTTTTTATATCGACAGTTGTGTCGAATTATATTGGGTATAGCACTAAATGGCATACTCCACCCGTCGTTTTCGTAGAGTAATTATAAAAAAATCGAAGTAAAACTCCAGAAATCCTCTGGATTCGTGCTTTCTGGGGTCGTAATTGACTGCAGAGAGACCCCCTGCGCCATCTGTGATTTCCAGATCAATTAAATTTTCACTCCGAGACATCGTATTCCCATTGTTTTGGCATAGAAGCGCATAATACACTTTTTTTGCCTTTATTCCGTTCAAATGCGAGTTTATCAATTACCAGAGTGTTCTAAATTGTCGTAAAATTATCCTGACCCTTTCGTTTCTCATATCGGAACCTTCGATAATTGTATATTAATCGAAATACGAGATCTCGACGCCATTTTGGTTCTGGTCTGGGCTAGGCTAAACATTTTTTTCCAAAAATCCGAATTTTGAATGTGTCAGGACAATTCTTCGATGATCACGAGTCACGTGTCAAAGTTTCGGAGAGTTTGGTCGAATACCTTTAAAAAAAAGTGTTGTATTCATATAGATTGATCAGAAGGGGGTTTAACTTCACCTTAAGCTTAAAATTAAAATATACTTCACTATTCCCTATATTTGAACGAATAGCGAAGATCCACTTCTCATGATTACAACTAATCATTATTTGCATAATGAACGTGATAATTGTTTATATTACGAAATTGTAATATTGGGTTGGCCAAAAAATCCTGCGACATTTTTTTGTATATTCGAAACGGTGTTGTTATTGTTGCAAGACATTTTAGCCAATCCAATAATCATTAATGATTAATGAAATTCACTAACCTGGATTTGTAACAAATTCATCGTCCACTTTTTTGATCGTCACCTCGTGATCCACTTCGTAAAATTGAGTTAGTTTAGCCCATTCTTCCGGCGTGACGATGACGTATCTACAAACAACAGGATCGTGAATTGCAACGAGGATGCAACCCTTTTCCAACAAACCTCGGCATTACATCCTTAATACGTATGAAGAATTGTAAAATAAAAAAAAATAAAAAATATTGCAACGAGGATGCAACTTTTTTCCATCAAACCTCGGCATTACATCCTTAATACGTATGCAGAATTGTAAAATTAAAAAAATAAAAAATATTGCAACGAGGATGCAACCCTTCTCCATCACACCTCGGCATTACATCCATAATACGTATGCAGAGTAAAACAATTCAATTGAAATCCACTCTTTGTAAAATCTTAATATAAATATTGTGAAGTCGAAAGACAGAGACATTATTGATATTTCAAATAAAAGAATGGATTTTTAAATAAAATCTTGTTACTCTGCAAGACTTATGAAAAGTTAGATACTTTTATTTATTCTTCCATGTTTTACCGTAATTCTTATGAGACGATATAACGTAAGTGTACCAGTCGCCGAACACCAGTTAAAATATTTCCCTTTATTAAGGTGATATGAAAATGTCATATATACATAATAAAACATCAGAAATGTTTATAAAACTTTTCTGAAAATTGGGTGCACCGAATCATTTGAAACGTTAACATGCGATTGTGGAGGCTCTAAGAAAAAACGCGATGCTCGTGAAATTTCATACAAAAATAAAAATTGTATTATTTAGCCTACATTAGAACCAGAAACACATTTTCTTGTGAAAAATGAAATTTCATGAGCATCGTGTTCTTTCTTAGCATATCCATAATCACCTGTTAATGTTTCAAATAATTCGGTGCACCCAGTTTCGAGAAAAGTTTCATAATTATTTTTACTTTTTGTTATGTATATATCACACTTTCATATCACCTTAAGCATTCCATAAATGTAATTGCAATTGTAAAAACTGTAAGAGGACCGTCAATATTTAATTGACGTACAGGAAAATTTTCGATTACCACTCTGCGTGGATTACAATCTAATGTTCAATGTTTATTTAGGTCTGCACGTTACGGATATTGTTTCAATGTATTCCTTGAAGATAATGCGAAAGAATGAAGAAAGCTTCTTAGAAGCTACCGTTTAGCCTTTACGTATTTTTAAAAGAAGTTATGGCTTATCTTGTTAAGGTAATATGAAAGTGGCGTCGAAGAGGTTTTGTTTATAAAACTTTTCTCCCAACTCGGTTTACCGAATAGTTTGAAACTTTGCAACGTGAATAGGAAGACTATAAAGAAGATCCTGAAAATCATGAAATTTCAATTCTTTTCAAATTTGTTTATAGGTATTTTAAAAATAGTTTATAAAAATGAAATTTCGCGAGTTTCAGGACCTACCTTAGGGCATCCGTATTCACGTTTTAAAGTATGAAATGATTTGAGACACCCAGTTCGTAGAAAAGTTTTATGAACGATTGAGCTTTCGGATGCCACTTTCACATCCCCTTAACCCCCTATGGGCACGTGTAACTTTCAGGTCACATTTTAAATGAAAAATTTTTTTTCATTTGCATATATAGGTTCCTAATTGCTGATTTTTCGTTCCCTCAATTTTTTCTTATTGAATGAAAAATTCGGCCCATAGAGGGTTAAGGAAGAAATAGAATATACCATGTTAACGTTAGATGTTTATTTTGGTTTGCACGTTACAAAGATTGTTTCAATGCATTCCTTGGAGAAAATGCGAAGGAATACAGAAAGCTTTTTAGAACCTACCGTTTAGCCTGTACGTATTTTTGAAAGAAGTTATGGCTTATCTTGTTAAGGAAGAAATAGAACATACCATATAGCAATTTATTTGTATGCAAAACTACATTTAGCAATATTATTATATTATCGTATTCCCATCGTTTTAGCATAGAAGCGCATACAACACTTTTTTTGCCTTTATCCCGTTCAAATGCGAGTTTATCGATTACCAGAGTGTTCTAAATTTTCCTAAAATTGTCCTGACCCTTTCGATTCTCATATCAGAGCCTTCGATAATTGTATATCGATCGAAATATGAGAGCTCGACGCCATTTTGGTTCTGGTCTGGGTTGAGTTAAAAAATTTTGTTAAAAATCCAAATTTTGAATGTGTCAGGACAACTCTTACAAGGAAGGTACCTGAGGTGTCCCTCTCCGATTTTGTTCATTTTTAAATATGTTATAGAGGACTAAAATCTAAGGGACCCGTGTTTTTTTATCGGCGGATAAACACTTTTAGGGGGTGAAATTAGGCTTCAAGGTTGGCCGTGCAAGGGGGTGAGTTGGCTGTTTCATATAGAGGCACTCGACCGATTTTCATGAAACAACCGTCAAAATGTAGGGAATGAAGAATTATGAAACATGCATTTGGAATTTTTCGAAAAAATTCATTTTTAAGGGGTGAGCCACCCCTTTGAATACTTCTTTTACCCCTTACGCGAGCAGTAATTGCTCTATCCAAATGAAACTTGGTTAATTTATAGACCAGAACAATACAAAAAAAGTTTCATTTGGATAGAACAATTACTGCTCGCGTAAGGGGTAAAAGAAGTATTCAAAGGGGTGGCTCACCCCTTAAAAATGAATTTTTTCGAAAAATTCCAAATGCATGTTTCATAATTCTTCATTCCCTACATTTTGACGGTTGTTTCATGAAAATCGGTCGAGTGCCTCTATATGAAACAGCCAACTCACCCCCTTGCACGGCCAACTTTGAAGCCTGATTCCACTCCCTAAAAGTGTTTATCCGCCGATAAAAAAAAACACGGGTCCCTTAGATTTTAGTCCTCTATAACATATTTAAAAATGAACAAAATCGGAGGGGGACACCTCAGGTACCTTCCTTGTTAGATGATCAGGAGTGATGTGTCAAACTTTCCGACAGTTTGGTCTAATACCCTCAAAAAAAAGTGTTGTATTCGAATTGACAGATTTGAACGGTGTTTCACTTCACCTTAAATGTGGACCATTGCAGATATAAAGAACATGTGTCTCTTAGATCTTTGCGTTCTTCAACATATATGAAAATCAATAAGATCGGGGACGAACACTTGGGAATGTTTCCTTGTTAGTTTTTAGTCTCCTATAACATATAATAAAAGAAATCAAATCTGAGAGATCGACCTGGGATACCTTCCTTGTAAGTCATTTGTACCTCATATCGGTTTTTATATGTGTTGCGGATGTTCGAAAGAAAGTCTGAACGCGGGTTGCACTGGATGTGAGAGCCAAATTTGATGACTGATTAATTCTCGACGAAATCTCGAGTCAGGTCGGTTTTATGACTTCGGGCACATGACTTGAATTCGTAACATAAATAGTTTATTAACAATAACGAGTAAGTCCGATAATAATTGTAGAATATGACACTATGAACGGCGGCGGTCGCACGGTACAAATTAGCGGGTGACTATTTGGAGTCGCGGTGAGACTATATAGAGTCGCGGTTAGACTATTTGGAGTCGCGGTTAGACTATTTGGAGTCGCGGTGAGACTTGATTGTCTCTGAGAGTAGGAGATGTCCGTCTCTCGCGGTGGAAGATTTGATTCTGAAGATGCCCAGAGGAACTTTGGTCCAGAGCGCTTTCGGATGCTGTCCTCTAGGGCGGAGTTTTTTACAAAGCGTTTACTGATAGGCGTAGAGAAATTAAAGATGATCGATAATCGAAAGTGACTGGTTAATGAGGACTGAGAAGGGGAAAAGTTAATGTTGTTTAAGAAGGCTTAGGTGGGGAATAACAAAAATGGGCTATAGGACTAGAAGTAAACGAATCATGGGCTAAAGGACCGCGGTAGTAGATAAAAGAAGCGCCAGAGTTTCTGTTTATACCTCAATTTAAGTTATGACCATACGTTACTGAATTGATGATGCGAGATGACAGGAAGAGACTCGAGAAAGAATAAACGGAACTTGAAATACGGAAGAAATAGAACGGCCAGACCGTTGCAGAGAGCATTCCAAATAATTCTAGCGTTATAATTATTAAATTATGGATTAGTCCGTATTTGCAATAAATAATTGAAATTTACGTATTGGCTTGAAAACCACACGTGACATGATAATTGCTATCTGAGATAAAGAAATTCGTTCTCGATTGAGCCCTTGTTCATTCGGCTCGAACAGACAGTTTGGTCTAACACCCTTAAAAAAAAGTGTTGTATTCGAGTCGACTGATTTGAAGGGTGTTTCACTTCACCTTAAATGTGGACCATTGCAGATATAGAGAACGTGTGTCTCTTAGATCTTTGCGTTCTTCAACATATATGAAAATCAATAAGATCGGGGACGAACACTTGGGAATGTTTCCTTGTTAGTTTTTAGTCTACTATAACATATTATAAAAGAAATCAAATCGGAGAGATCGACCTGGGATACCTTCCTTGTAAGTCATTTGTACCTCATATCGGTCTTTGCATGTTAAATCTTTATCGGAATCTGAACGGCGTCTTAGGTGTTCGGTCGCTGGTACCCTGACCTTACCAAAAGTTCAAAAGAAAAAAAAAAAAAAATCCGCGGAAAGCAAAAGTAACATCGGTGACTCCAGCGGACAAAAGGGGAGGCAATAAAATGAGCGAGTACAGGGGTAAAACAAGTTGAGACAGTCTTGGCAAAGATCGGTCTTCTGGCAGCGGGCACCGAGGAATCCGCGATTTCCCGCCACCCCCGCGGAATATCCGGGTGGTTTTTGTGGGCTCTCCCTTAATTATGCCGCAAATTAGAAATTTCTTGCGGGCCCCCTGCAGTCGGCGCTTTTTGTGGCCGGGGCTCTCCGCGCGGCGTTTCCGCTTACGTCGACGGGGCTTGGGAGATTTCGAGATCGACCTTTCCTGATTTTTGTTTCCACTCTTTCCTCGCCCTCGACGAAAGAGGAAACCTCGCATTTGCGAGGGGACACCCCCTGAATCCCCGAGTCCCGATAACGAGAGTAAATCCATCGGCGACTCGCTGATAATTAGTTGCGCGACATTAATTCCCATTCAGCGCAATATGCCGCGCGGCCTGATTTGAATTTGCCGGGCAAAAAGCGGTGGCACTACGTGAGTCATCGCGTCACTCGCGCCCGCGGCGAGGCGTCCTCTTCCCCGTGTATTTGCCTAACGCCCGATTAATAGGGGGACGCGAAAGAGACGCCGGATGCCCCGCTCCATCTACGCGGCAAATTTTTCCCGCTTTTTTCGTCATTTCGTGAAAAAACTAACGCGAGTGGTCCGAAACATTTCGCACGGAAAGAATCGAGGGTAAGGAATTATTAGTTCTTTTAGAATAGAGGCACCGAGAGATACCGAAGATTAATCGGTGTTAAGTTGAAAATTAAACATTGGAAGGGTGGTATTATGCAAAGAAAATATCAGCTTAGTTAGATCCTTAAAATTACTGTATCATTCGATATCAATTTTTAAATCGCAAATGGAGGATGGCGATTTGAGTCGATTGATGAAAATACGTTCCTTTAGAAACACGATGGTGTTTCCAAAGGAACGTGTCACTTCCAAGGGAGGTAGACCTTTCGTAATTTGTAGGCCTAGCCAGAGGGTGACCTCCGACGTGGAGTTGGGACTGGTAAAAATGATTTTTTAACGGTCCGTCCACAGGAAGAGGGGTGACTTAAGCCGTCGCTATCTTAGGCAGATAGTGGACAATGGCTTAGCATAATGGTCAGGGGGTTAGACGACGGTGGCCCCGGGGTGTGTGGGTGACACTTTTGCGTATCCATCACCCCCCAAGAGAGACCAAGGAGGGGTTGAAAGGCGTGCCAAGAGGTCACGCACTTTCCCTTTATAATGAACTCGTCTTTTCGGAAAACATGCAAGATTTGCCCTGGTGGAATTTTCCAAAAGTTTAATTTCTCCCCCTGAATCCTTTTATAGACTCTACCCTATATTTACCCTACACCCGTGACAAATTGAAAATAGTTTTCTTCTGATACTTTTTTTCGTTTAAAAATCAGCAAGTCTTATTGAGGTACAATGAGGTTTAAGGTTAATTTTTTAACAACTGGGGGACATAATTTATATTTGTTATTATACTTACAGTTCACTGGTAACAGACGGTTGGTAGAAAAAACCCTTGTGCAATTCGCAAAGTAGAACTGTGTTTTGAATTCCCGAAGGTGGAGTTTTCGGATGCGTTTCCGCATATCTGGAAAAAAAAGAGCAAAACCTACATTGAAAGGCTCGCCGATTACAGATATGATTTATTACGAATTGTTAAGAAAATCACGGATATACCGACGATTTTGAATGAAACAAATGACCGTCGACCGAGAGTCTGTCCATTCCTCTCCCTGTCAGAAAATCGTATGAATAAGTGAGAGAAGAATCATACCGGGGGAGATTTTCCGGATATTCCTAGAAAATGAATTCCCGGGGGATGGGGGATGCTGCGGCCGATGGCGTGACTTATTTTTTATAAACTTGTCAAAAAGTTAATCGTCCCGTATAATGTGCGTCCGTGCGTGACGAATCCTGTGGCTCGTGGGGAAAAAAAGAAAGGAAAAAAAAAACTTCATCCGAGATTTCCTACACCCCACAAGGGTGGAAGAAATAAATTGACTAGGAATTGTAAAGAATTCCTCCAATTTACGGTACCATAATAAATTATGTAATAACAAAATTGGATTATTGCAAATGATCATTTTCTAATTGAAAGACATTTTCGTGAATGTTTAATCATTCAAAACCTCATTTGGGATTAGGAATCTTTCCGATCTCTTCCTACAATGAAGTTAAATAAAAAATGAAGCAGGTAGATTTAAACTATGTGGGATTCTCCACATTTACATTGTTAAGAATTCCTCCAATTTACGGTACCATAATAAATTATGTAATAACAAAACTGGATGATTGCAAATTATCATTTTCTAATTGAAAGACATTTTTGTGAATGTTTAATCATTGAAAACCTCATTTGCGATTAGGAATCTTTCCGATCTCTTCCTTGAATGAAGTTAAATAAAAAATGAAGCAGGTAGGTTTAAACTATGTGGGATTCTCTACATTTACATTGTCAAGAATGCCTCTAATTCTCGGTACCATAATAAATTATGTAATAACAAAATTGGATAATTGCAAATGATAATTTTCTAATTGAAAGACATTTTCGTGAATGTTTAATCATTCAAAACCTCATTTGGGATTAGGAATCTTTCCGATTTCTTCCTAGAATGCAGTTAAATAAAAAATTTTCGGTAACATAATAAATTACATAATAAAAAAATTGGATGATTGCAAATGATCATTTTCCAATTGAAAGAAATTTTCATCAGTGTTTAATAATTCGAAACCTCATTTGGGATTAGGAGTCTTTCCGATCTCTTCCTACAATACAGTTAAATAAAAAATGAAGCAGGTAGTCTTAAACTATGTGGGATTCTCCACATTTACAAAATTAGAATTCATACCTAACAGGCGCTTAATTATTTCTAGTATTGCAAAATAAGGGAGGAATTCAATGATTCGTAAAGAAAAATTATTCTTTCATGGACAAACTTAACGAAGACCTAATAAACGCAATTGACTATAAACAATTGATGAATTCTTCATTTAACAATTCTTTCATAAAACAAATTGCTAAATTACCTAGTTAAATTAATCACCCAAAGATGTTCTTATCTACCGCCCACCCTTGAAATTCTTAATTCACATTCCGTAACTTCTGAAAGCAATAAATCACCAGAAAATTGCAAAATTTATAATGAAACAGCTTTGAAAAAGAAATCCATACCCACGTTCTCGCCACTGGGAAATCAGGAAAAATCACATCGATATGAGATTTTCTGAAATATTTCCGAAAAAGGAATTCCCAGGGGTGGCAGGGAGTCGCCTCTAGAGGCAATGGCTGGTGGCGTGGTTTCTTTTTTTTTTTCATAAACTTGTCAGGAGCTTAATCGTTTCGAATAATGCAAGCCCGTGCGTGACGAGGTCCGGGGAGGAAGTCTTCCTTCGGGACTTTCTCGGGACAGGGGGAAGGGAGGCGGTCCGGGGTGCAAGGGACTCCTCCATGGATCGGGGTCGTGCATCATTTTTCACATACCACGAGGGGGCGGACAGTTTTTCCCGGCGACACCCTCCTTTCCCCCTTTGCGCCGCGGATTCAGATAATGTCCTTAAAGACGGATATCTCTTCCCGCTGGGGGAGGACCCGCTACCTCCGAGCGGTGATTATCGCCGAATCGGACAATACGCTCGATTTGTGGGAGCGCTTTTTAAATTTCTCGGGATATTCCTCCCCTTCTCGAATAAGAACGCCCGAATATGATATTACCTCTTTCCTTGCAATTTGCAAACGAATCTAATACGCTCGATTTCTGGGAGCGCTCTTTAAATTTGTGGGAGGATGTTCCTCCCCTTCTCGAATAAGAACATGGAAAGAAATAATTTGGTGTAACGTTATATTTCCCAGGCGCCGAGGAACGTGGAATATCCGTAAATTAATCGTATATAAATGTTTATTGAACGTATGGATAATATATATAGATATCTAGGAACCTACTGTAGATCCACTCAAAGGCTAGATGGTTTATAGATATTCATACGTATTTGTACAAAAAATTAAATTGATAACACTTTTCGGGAGCGCTTTTTAAATTTGTCGGGATGTTCCTCCCCTTCTCGAATAAGAACGCCCGAAATGATATTACCTCTTTCCTTGCAATTTGCAAACGAATCGAGTACACTCGATTTCTGGGAGTGCTCTTTAAATTTGTGGGAGGATGTTCCTCCCCTTCTCGAATAAGAACATGGAAAGAAATAATTTGGTGTAACGTTATATTTCCCAGGCGCCGAGGAACATGGAATATCCGTAAATTAATCGTATATAAATGTTTATTGAACGTATGGAAGATATATATAGATATCTATGAACTCTACTGTGCCTGTCCGGACATGGTACGTGATACCATCTATTGTGACGATCGTACGTGACCATCTATTGTATATCTATATATACGCTTTTTAAATTTGTCGGGATATTCCTCCCCTTCTCGAATAAGAATGCCCGAATATGATATTACCTCTTTCCTTGCAATTTGCAAACGAATCGAATACGCGCGATTTCTGGGAGCGCTCCTTAAATTTTTGGGAGGATGTTTCTCCCCTTCTTGAATGAGAACACGGAAAGAAAAAATTTGGTGTAACGTTATATTTCCAAGACGCCGAGGAACGTGGAAAATCCGTAAATTAATCGTATATAAATGTTTATTGAACGTATGGAAGATATATATAGATATCTATTAACTCTATTGTAGATCCACTCAAAGGCTAGACGTCCGGAAATGGTACGTAATATATATATCGTAGATATCTACAATAAATGGTCTATAGATATTTATACGTATTTGTACAACAAATTAAATTCATAACACTTTTTGGGAGCGCTCTTTAAATTTGTTGGCAGGATGTTTCTCCCCTTCTCGAATAAGAACACGAAAAGAAATAATTTGGTGTAACGTTATATTTCCCAGGCGCCGAGGAACGTGGAATATTCGTTAATTAATCGTATATAAATGTTTATTGAACGTATGTAAGATATATATAGATATCTATAAACTGTATTGTAGGTCCACTCAAAGGCTAGACGTCCGGAAATGGTACGTAATATATATATCGTAGATATCTACAATAGATGGTCTATAGATATTCATACGTATTTGTACACAAAATTAAATTCATAACACTTTTTGGGAGCGCTATTTAAATTTGTCGGGATATTGGATAATATAGATATATGTATATAACGGACTGGCCTCAAAGCTCGGAATATTTGATGCGCCGGTGGAGTGAAGAAATTGAAAGGGCCGTCGGAGAAGACTGAATGAAGGGCTGGTCCGCGAGTGGCGGTAACAACTTCGCCCTCGACTTGGTGCCTCAATTCCGGATCCTCGGATCGTACGAGAGGTGTCTCAAAAGTAAGTTCCACTATTTTTTAAACCCGTTTGGTTGGCGGGAAACGTTTAAAATTTGGAGGAAATATTTGTCTGAGTGTAGTGCAAGCCCTGTAAAATCCCTATGCGCGTGCATTCATCCCTAGGTCAGTCACACCCCACTCGTCATGGAGACTCAACTCGCTCCTACCGCCGATTGTGGAGTTCGAGGTATTATTCGTTTTTTAAACGGAAAAAATAAAAATGCGACTGAAATTCATCGCGAGTTGTGTAGCGTGTACGTTGAAGATGTTATGTCAAGGTTAATGGTTGCTCGTTGGCGCCAATTATTCATTGATGGGAGAAAAACATTGCACGATGAACAACGAAGCGGCCGGCCCTCGACTTCACGCACTTCGAGTGTTGCCGAGCATGTTCGAAGGGTCTTGGATTCCGACTGGCGCCTTACACTTGATGAAATTCTTTATCAACTGCCTCCGAATATTGAGATCCAAGGTACCAGACAGAGAGAGGAAGAGAAGGTTCCGGTTAAAAAACGAATAACACCACGAACACAATCGGTGGTAGGAGCGAATAGAGACTCCTTGGCGACTGGGGCGTGACTGACCTAGCGATGAATGCACGCGCATAGGGATTTTTCAGGGCTTGCACTACACACAGACAAATATTCCCTCCAAATTTCAAACGTTTCCCGCCGACCAAACGGGTTTAAAAAAATAGTGGAACTTACTTTTCAGACACCCCTCGTAGAACCCTCCATCGCGGTGTGCCCTGGACGAAGGTTGCCAGTCGAAAGAGCGAGCGCTGGCTCTCCTATCTTGCCTTAAATTCTCGCACCCGAGTGTTTATACACACAACCCGATAGAGGCCTCAGAGGTCGATCTCCGACGATTGTGCAGTAATGCCGTCAGTCTGTAGTCATTTAGAAATGAATACATGAGAGTTTGCGAACTGCATATTGTCAAAACGCGTCGTGGGAAGAGATCCCGACGTCCGCGACAACAGAGTCCGGTGACTATGGGAAAGAACCGTTGAGCCCAGCTCCACGGAATCTGAAACCCTCATCCCTACGGGATAACTTCATGAACTTAGAACAGTCAGTCCTATTCCGAACTCCGAGCCCGTTGGACCGTAGGTCATGCCGTGATTGTCTTGTGCATAATAAAGAACCACATCCAAATGCCAAAAAGGAGTTAAGAAATTCTTCGAGGAGAACCCCAATACCCTTCGCGGCATAACAGTGAGACATTCGAAATGAAAATACTACCACATTGGTTACAATTACTATAGGGACATGGTTAAAATACTGTGGGAAGTAAAACCACAGGAATAGTGAAATTTACCACATCGGATGATAAATGTAACCTTGCAAGTAGGTACTGTATTCATGGCGCTGCACTTAA